CGCAATTCCGCCCTTCGCTCGATTACAGACATCGGAACTCAAAGGACAGGAAAGGGGTTTGGGCGGGGGGCCGGGGGGTCACCTCCGCGCATGGCGGCCTTCACAGGGCGGCCGCCACGCGATCGCCACAACGCGCCGATCTCAGAAGCCCGCGCCGCGCGACTCCATTCATCGGGCAACTCAGGCCTCCCCCTCCCTCGTCCCTGTCAATAACGGTCCATGCATCGCACTGCTTCGACGCGACCCAGCCCACCCACCCAATTTTTCGCAACCCTGATGAACACCTACTGGCCTCCGAGTCGCAGCCTCGACCTCCGCTCCCGCCCGAAGAGCTCGCGGGCAGCGCTGCACACACAGACGCAAATGCTCAGGGGGGGGGGGGGCAGCCCGTTGCGAAACCCGTTGCTCTTTTGAAGTGCGATAACAAATCTTACCCGCCGCCAATCCCAGCCCCGCGCCGCCCCCACCCACCCACTTTTCTTACCCCGGTGCATATGGCGTGGGCTCCGAACGGTCGGCTAAATCCCGCTGCCCCAGGGGTCGTTTCGGGAGCCTCGTCCACGCCACGCGCACGCACAAATGTTCAGGACGGGGCTGCCCGTCGCGCGGCCCGTTTCTCTCTAGAAGAGAGATGACAAATCTCACCCCGCCCGGCGAGCCTAACCCACGCCGCCCCATTCACTATTTCGCAATCCTGTTGGATGGCGCGTGAATTCCGGATGTTGGCCTCGATCCCCGCTTCCCGCAATGCTCCCACGATCCTCGGCCGCCCCCTACGCGTCTGGATGCCATGCTGTCAGAGCGAGGCGCGAGGCGGACGCGCGCAGCGTTGAGCTGCCGAGGGCAAAGAGGATGCCCGGCCGGGAATCGAACCTGGTACCTCTGCGGGGACGTCCCATCCCCAAATCACCAGGCCAGGGTCAGGGGAGAGTGCAGTCCGACCCGTTGAGTTCCTCTCCACTCAACGCGCGGCCGGCGCCGGCGCCCGCGTGGTCGGAGCGCCCATCGAGGATGCACGGATCGCGACCTGCAACCCAAGTCACCTGAACTGAACATTGCGTTCGGATGCATGGATACGCAGATCGCGACTTACGAGGCATTCGCCCACGCACCTGGCCGGGTCCCTGGCCCCCACGCCGGCACGACGGATGGCCCTCCGCGGACTCTCAAGCCCGCCCGTCCAAACGTGCTCACAATCCACCGCAATCAATCGAACACGACTTGCACGACATCAGAAATGGGTGAATGCATCGCGACTTGCAGGACAGATTTGCCCGAACAGCTGGCCGTGCCCCGCGCCCCCGCGCCGGCCTGCCCGATGGCCGTCGCCCTCCGCGGGCTCCCTTGTCGGGTCGCCGATGCTCCCGTTCCCATCCCGGCGACCAATCCATCGACCGATCAATATGCCGGCCCCGAATTGAATCCCAGACTCTATCCTTGCACCGCACCGCATCGTTAACCGGGCGCAGCCGGCGCCCTCCGCGGGTTCCCGGGTCGAGCCGCCGATCCTCCCGTTCCCATCCCCGCGATCAATCCATCCACCGGTCAATTACGTGCCCGCAATCGACGACGGGCCTTATCCTTGCACACGAAGCCCGCGGCTTCAACGCGCACGGCCTCGGCAGGGCTGGGATATCCTGCGGACTGCGCGGCCCAACCGAAAGCTTCTGGGCGTCTGACGCCCAACGCAGCGAGTGTGTTGCCAGAAACGGCTGCGACGAAACGACGCGCATGCGTGGCCGTGGCGAGACGTCATTTGTGCAGGCCCCGCGCGGGCACTTTTTTCGCTCTGCTTCGCTTTTTTTGCGCACCCCCTCCCCCTTCTATCGGCCTTTCCGGGTGGCCGACGCATTTGCACGCCCAGGAGTGGGGATGCCGGAAATCGCTGCTACCAAACGACCCACCCGTGCTGCCGCGGCGAGACGTCGCTTGTACGAGCCGCGGCTGAGCTCATATTTCGCCCTTCTGTATTCTCGCCCTTTTCGCGCCGCGAGCGTGTATTTGTGGGTCCAGGCAGTGGGCGACAGAAATTGCCGCGACCAAACGACGCGGGCGTGCGATCGCGGAACGCCGTCACTTGTGCGCGCCGCGGGTGGGGACTTTCCGCCCTTTTCCGCCCCTTTTCCTCTTTTCACCCCATTTTCCTCGCTTTTTCTCTCCCTCTCGATGGCCGACGCATTTGTGCGTCCGGCAGTGGGGACGCCAGAAACATCCACAAGTACACGGTGCCGTTTGGTGGGGGCTGTTTCTGTCACCCCGCGCGAAGGACGCACGAATGTGTCAGTCACACCAAAGATGCGGAAACAGGGCGAGAAAAGGAGCCCCCCGCCGCCAGTACAAGTGATATCTGGCCACAACCACGCGAATGCTCAGTGGTGTGGTCGAGCAGAGACGTCATTTGTACTGGCCGCGCAAAGCCTTTTTTCGCCCCCTTTTTCGTTTTTTAATTTTTACTCGGGTGGCCGACGCGTTTGCGCATCCGGGGAGTGGGCGCCAGAAAAGGCCACAGCCAAAAGGCGCGCACATGTTTCCTACAGAGACGTCATGAACACGAGCCACAGGCGAGATCTTTTTTTCACTCTTTTTGCCGTTAATTCGCCCTTTTTTCGCCCTTTTCTCACGCGCTTGTCTTTGGCCGACGCGTTTGTATGTCCAGGCATTCGGGCGCCAGAACGGCCGCGACCATACGGGGCCGCTTGTGCAGGGCGCGGGCAGGCCCTTTTGTCCCTTTTTCACACTTTTCTTTTCGCTTGCTCTGTTTTCACTCATCTTTCCCTCCTTTTCTCTCGGCCGTCTTGGGTGGCGGACGCATTTGTGCGGGCCGGGGGGGAGGGAGTGTGAGACTTTGGGGCAGTACATTGAGGGACAAGCCCGGTTTTTGGGTGAGCCATAGACGGCAGACTGCGGACGCTGTGCTACACACTGAATATCGCACCAGTATGAGAGGCGCGGGACGCCACGTGTGCGGTGCCGCCCGTCCCGAGGGCATAGTTTTGAGGCTTAGGGGAATGGGCGGGACGCTGTATATCACATGCTGCACACAGCATACCGTATGTCGTATGCCATATACCACGTTCAGCATTTCGATGGTATCTATGGCTACGGTATGGATGGACTGCATCCCCTTCGAGTTGGGTCAAATCAGCATGTGTTGATAATCTGTCGACAATCTGATGATCTGATGAGTCGGATAACAGACTATCGTAATATGTTGAATCTGCAGATGCCATGGATCTGTGGACGTGTTGAGTCGTGTCAAAATGCCAGCATATGTTGATGATCTGATGACGCGTTGGCAATAGGCCCAGAATCTGATGATTTCGTTTGATGTCCTGTTGACAGCCTAGCAACACTCTTATTCGATTATTCGACAAGTCTCATGACAGATTAACACAATCTGTTCAATCTGAAGAACCTGTTGATCTTTCGACATGTTGAGCCAGGCGCAAGTATGGTACTGTGGATGACGGATGTGGTGCAAGCAGTGCACGGAGCTCCAGCACACCGCCTTTCCCACCCCCGCATTTCCCCACAAGCCCCATAACAGCAGGCCTTACCAACACCAGCAAGAAAAGGGCCAAATAACATTTTTCGAGAACACATATGTATGCATTTCATCAGTGTTCTGCATGGTAAAAACATGAAAAGAACGTAAATCCATAGAATTTGTACACGTCTGAACACGTGTTATTCGGCCTTTCCTTTCCAAGTGCAATAGTTGTTTGTATAAGCTTTTATTTTTTAATTGCGTTTATATCATTTGAGTATTTCAAGCGGAAAAGCCCATTCAAAACTTCCGACCCATGCCAATCCAAAGGCCCCCCACTATTTCCACCCAGCCATGAGGCTTCCGTCCATTTGACTCATTTGACTAAACACAAATCCACGGTCCTCCAAATTCTCAGCATCGCATGTACTGGGTGTGTTGGGCCCTAAAGTACAGGAGCCACTGAACCTAATGTACTGGACTCCACGTCAATGCCATCTATCCCCTCAGCCACCCAAAAAGTAAAACACGGTCAGAAACGGGCACCTCATTTTCTGAGGAGGGGTCGGCCCCTCCTTCCCCATACCCTTGCTTAGACAATCTTCTTTTATATTATTTCCTTACATTTTCTTTTTCTACTCATTTTTACATATTTTCCTCTTTTGTATTCTTTTCTTCCCTTTGGGATTGGCCGATAGGCTGACAGCCCAAATCAGCACTCATCCAGACAACCACGCTTTGTCCAACTGCTGTCACATCAGGCTCACGAGGTCCTCGCACAAACTTCACACAAACTTTGCGAGCACGCCGAACTTCACATGAAACTGCGAGACCCCCAACACCCTTTCAGGACAAATTAGCGCAAGCAAGTACTTCCGAAGTACTGTGAAGTACTGAAACTTATACCACTTTTCCCCAAAACACGGTTCCTTGGACCGTATTTTGGCAACGCACACCGAGCTCCCGCTTGCCGCATCCGTCGCTTCGATCAAATCAACCGGCCAATGGCACCCCACCCCTTTGCACACCCAATCGACTCAGTAGGCCACCCACACTCATCCTTTTCTGTCCCGAGAGCACGAGGCTCCTATCCAATAAATAGGATCCCAAGAATGCATTCTTCAGTTTGGATCTCATGTATGACATTCTTGAGATCCACTGAAGGACCAAGTCAGACACCTGTCCGTCCCACCAGCCTGGCGTCTGCCCAGTCAAACCACGGATATTAGTTGCGGAAAGACTTCCTAAATGTCGAAAAAATCTGCGTGAAAGCGACCACCAAACCAGATCAATTGGATCATCAACTGGGCCACAGATCATGGACGAGATGCGCCCTTGGCGCCAGCCAGTTCCAAGCCAATGATCCAGGTCGCTTAATAGAATCGGGTTGACCGAATTGGGTTGATCATTCGTATCAAGAGATCAACAAGGCGACCAACTGAACCAACGAGATCAACGGGACGGATCACTTGGATCAGTGGGGTCTAGGAGCGGGACATTTGGATGAGCGGGGTCAGCGCGAGTAGCGCCCGCGGCCAAAGGCGTTGCCCGCTCCCAGGATCATTTCGCAGAACTCCTCGAAGTCGATGGCGCCGTTGCCGTCCTTGTCCGCTTCACACAGGATCTGGTTGATGCCGCGGTCCGTGATCCCATACCTGGAGCACATGGACATTAAAGTATTAAACACTAAAAACTAAAACATACTAAACATGTTAAATATTGACACACGTTAAGGAGTCATTCTTAACGGCAAATAGTTGTCTATTAGCATATTTGGCATGATCCCATACCAGCAACAAAGGGTGGTAGATTCTTTAATCGCTGAGATATGCTAAACATACAAAACAGTAAAACATCTTAGAGCGATTATTTACAGCAAATTAGTCACGCATTAGCATTATTCAATAAAAGAACATTAAGGCATTTCAATTTCTGGGTATTAACTTGGGTAATCTAGTTATGCACAAAGAGCATCCGACAGATGTCCTCCACACATGTTGAAACACATTTGCTCCTAATTTTGCGATATGTATTCTCTTGAAGTGCACCCACTGGAATACTGATTAAGGGGACTTTTTCATTTACCAATTTACAAGAATGGAATGCATTTCGCAAGCCTATCTATCAATTGAAAACGCGTATTCAACGTCCGCATTTGCTGTTCAAGAAACTGGTTCTCTACTTCGCCCCTGCTGCAGCACGCGTCAGAGTGTGACAGCGAGATCGAGAGTACGAGCGGCCATCGATGGTTTTGACAGGCAGTGCGCCCCACTGCGACGTCACAGGCAACCGATGAGCTCTGCACCAAAGATGAGCCTAAATGCATTTCCGTAATGGGGCTGTAACGTCAACACGTACATTAAACACATAAGTCCGTGGGTGTCATCCTGTGCATTCAGCAATGCACGTGTACGACACACGCGTTCAAACAGCTGCGCAACTGGCTGCTGGCTTTTTCTCGCTCGCTTGACACCGACGTTCAAGCTAGATTGCGACACAGCGAACAGAAGTTCATTGACCAAAGCATCAATGTCGACAAATTGTGTCGATATTGCCTCAACAAGGTGTCACAATTTGTCAACGGATGACCTGCCAAATGTCCTGCTAACTGGACATCATTACGCCATCATCCAAGACGTCCACCACACAAACGGTGCATGAAGACAGCAACAGTAACCATATATAAGATATACAACAATACACAACAAATGCATATTTGTAGTACAGTCAGTAAAATCACACATAAATATAAGAATTTGAGAAGTATACAATAATGCACGCTTACATAACAACGATGCATAAAACCATACACAACAACATTGCACAGCAATACATAACAACACAAAAGAAAATCATAAACACGTATCGATAAATGGATATATGTATGAATGCGACCCCGCACCCTTTTAGCGCCTCGAACATCTCGTCCCGCGTGATGCTGCCGCTGTCGTCCGTGTCGAAGTGGCGGAAGGCCCGAACTAAACTATCGTCGGACTGCAGGTTGTTTAGGTTTAGGGTCGCCGCCAGAAACTCCTCGTAGTCCACCGCGCCGTTGCCGTCCAGATCGATGCCGTCGATGAGGCGGTACAGGTCGGCTTCTGGGAGCATTCCACCTTTCTGCCTCAGACCCTTTGGGTGCAATAAAAAGGGAACACTCAGGACATTCATACGTTCACTGTACTTTACGCTGTACTCTGAGCTGCACTTTGTGCTTTGTGTGTGGACATGCGAAAGATGGGACACTGAAAATATTCATATGCTTGCTGTACTTCGTGCTGTACTCGTGCTTTCCTTTGGTTGTGCACTTTAGGGTGTGCTTTGTGCAGTGCGATGCAGAAAGGGAATATTGAAGGTGGTATCATCGCACTGTACATTGCGCAATGCTGCGCTCTGAGCTGTGCTTTGTGCTTGTTTTGAAATTTGCAGTCATCAGACCGGGGTGGCATTTTGGGGGAAGCGTACAGTTTTTGGATAATATGCAAATGAAGTCCCTGTCAAAGCATGCTGAAATCGACACCAAATACATGCCGTCCACGAGGCGAGCGAGGTCAGCATCCGGCCACCCGCCCCGTACATACCGCCAATGCTTAAACAATGGCAAGGGCACCAAAATTACGATCACTCAGAGCTGCAACAGCAAGATTGTGGCAAAGTACTGCGTCCCACATCCATCAGCTCATCTACCCACTCCGTTGTGCACCAACAGAAATACCACAGGCGTCCATATTCAATTACTGTTTTATACTCCATCCCTACTAGCTTGTAATTAGTCAATCGCAGCAAGCAAGGCTGCACAACTGTCCAGCATTAAACTTGAACCCACTACTTAGTTAATGTACCGCACACCATTTCCCGCAGCTCGTCCACTGCGATCTTGCCGTTACCGTCCAGCGACAGGAGTATCATGCTTAGTATTTTTCACGTAATTTTATTTTTTAATACACATTACGTCATTACCAGTGTATATTTAGCCATCTAAATGAAGAAACGTCGCCAAATTTCCGATAACTAAACCTAACCCCAGCACTGCGCCAATGTACTGCGACCCACCTCCCGCAACTCATCCACCGTGATCTTGCCATTGCCGTCCTCGTCCAGCGACAAGAATATCTGCCGCAGGCCCTCGATCTCCGCCTTGGGCATCTGCGACGCGATGATCTTCAGCGCCTCTTTTTTCAACTTATTCATCGCCGCAAAGCCGCGCAGCCGGCCCACCACGGGGTTGAGCGGCCGGCAGCACACTGCGTCGCCCTCCGCCAAAAAGGGATGGCACAGGAGCTCGTCTGCTGTAGGTCGCTGGCTGGCAGAACAAATGAACGCACTTATACACGTTTGTTTTATATATATTACATATCTTTATTAATTACATGTTTCTGCCAGTAGTCATCTGTATACTACTTGCAATCCGTATATAATACCGCAGATCCAACGTCAGCATCCGCTGGCACACGTACGCGGAGCATTCGAAATTACAATGCTGTTAATAATAAATAACAAAACCATTAGTACCAGATTAGTAGCTCAAATAGCCAGCAACAAACGAACAATTGCGCAGGTAGGACTTCCCCAAGACTCACCTCGGATCCATGGCCAGCATCCGCTGGCACATGTCCAGCGCGGCGTCCGAGATGTCTGGCCATGGGTCGCACTCGAAGTCCACGTAGCCATCCTGTATGGCCTCGAAGATCTCCTCGTCCGTGTCCTTGTAGAAAGGGGGCACCCCGATTAGTAATATGTACAGGATGACGCCCATGGACCAGACATCCGCCTCCTTGCTGTAGTGCTTGTTTAAGACCTCGGGCGCGACATAGTATGGCGTGCCGACCACCTCGTCCATCACCTTCAAGGCAAGAATCCAAAGTGAAGTGAACGAGTTCAAAGTGAATTGAACGCGATCGAGTGTCGGCAATTGCAATCAAATGTAAACAACGATGGTTACGCATAACTGGATGTGCAATTCAATGATGCGCTGATCCGTACATCATGGTGGTATTATGACAACAACTCCATCAGTCGATTAGATGTATGAACTGACGAAAAGTGAAAGCCATTTATCGAGATAACATGTACTGAGTCTCACGCAAACTTTTCAACAGTGACGGCAATCATATGACTTGCGATTTATTTCTATCACTTTGTGTTGAACGCATCTTCGACACAATGTTTCCGAGTTGGAGTGGAAGTTTGGTATATCGTGGCAGCCATCCAGTCAATCAGTCTATCTATCCTGCACAGTGGCTCTCTATATTTTGCATTCCAGCCACCAGTTTTCCGACAGAAAACAGAGACAGCACAGGAAGGAATACACTATTTTTTCACTTTGCATTTCTATGATAAGCCCTACACTTTATGGCAAGACGTGGACATGGAAGTTTAGTAATCCCTCTGCATCGATACAAATGATGCAAAATCAACCTGGCACATCCAACCAGTGCAGTGTTTCACTCCGGTACATTGCGCCAGCACAATGAAACCCTTCAGCACAGTGAACCACAGTGGTTCAACCACTCCTTGACTGCAGTTCCAAACTCCAGTACAATGGATCGGCACAACAAACCTCACTGTACATTAGGCCACTAAAGTGACTCCTCCAGCACAGTGAGCTGCTCCAGTACATCGGCCCAGTACAGCGAGCACATCCGTCACCATGAATCACGCCAGTACATTAGGGCAGTGCAGAACACTCCTGCAGTTTAGCCCCCTCACCTGGCCCTCCTTGAAGAATGCTGACAGTCCAAAGTCAATGGCCTTGAGCGGGGCGTAATCGGAAGGATCAGCCAGCAGAAAATTTTCGGGCTTCAGGTCGCGGTGGATGATGCCCATGTCGTGGCAATGGGCAACGACCTGCAGCATCAGAACTCGACAATTTATCCTAACATATGTTTAGGCAATAGTACACATATAACGAATCTATAATACATTAACATATATGAGTAATAAAGCAGCTCGATACAAAACTGGCAATCAGAGCATGGCGCCCACAGCGGCCGGGTCCAAACTCTACCCCATGGCCACCACAGGAAACTCGCAGTTAAAAGCACAAACCTCCAACACAAAAAGGGCAAAAAAAACATAAAATCCCCAAAACAAGAAATATACTCTAAGTGACGGCAGAAACAGAGTCGAACGACCGTGGAAAGAGGCGCAAACCTGCAGCATGGTGCGTATGGCGTCTGCGGCGTCCTGCTCAGTGTACGCGCCCCTGTCGCAGATCCTCTCGAACAGCTCCCCACCGGTGCACAGCTCCATGACTAAGTGAATATTCTCCGAATCTTCGTAGACCGCCTTGAGTGTCACCACGTTGGGATGGCCGGCTAGGGTGTGCAGAATCTGGGGCGAAAAAAGCATGGCAAAACAAGGTGAAAAATGGATGGATTAAGTATTGGAGGGAAACTATGAAGGCAACAATTGAAGGAAAGTAAGATAGCAAAAGGCTCAGAAAAATTCCGGTTGTTGAATGGGGGGCTTGAGCATCGCGACATTGGGTGGCTGGCAAGGTGGTGCAGAATCTGTGGCGGGAAAAGCGAGGCCAAAGGAGGGTGAGCAGAATGGGTGGATTAAATGAGGGCGAACTGTGTTGCCGGGGGAGGTGAATGCAGACAACAGAATTTCACAAGTCGGGTTGCTGAAAGGCGTGCTCCTGCGTCGCGATGCTGATGAGGCTGGCCACGTAGTGCAAAATCTGGAAAGGCCGACAGAAAAAGCCAAAAGGGCTGTCTTCAGTCATAAACCAAACCGCGTAGCAAACCATAAAGAGTTTAAAGAGTTGTCATACGTCGATTTACCCTGTTCACATATAATTGCTGCCATTCAAGATATGTGCGCTACTCCAACCAGGCAACATCAATCACGTTTCATTTGTAATTGCTGTTCGCATTATCACTTTTATTCACATTTGCACTTCTATTTTTATTCTCATGTTATTCTCAGAAGCTTACCAGAACCTCCCTTGGACAGCTTCACGTCGCTTGGATGCCTTTGAACATTTTTCAGGGCTAATATGGTCCACTGGTCAGTACTTTACAGTACTTTGCTGTATCATTTTTCCTTGAAAGAGTGCTTCTGGCGCATCCGAATAGAAGTGAGCCACTGTCCTTCCACTAGTCGATTCACATTCCGATTTGCATCACAATTCCTGCCTCTTGATTTATGCATTACATCAAACAACTGACTCCGCAGACCTAATTGTAGCATCATCGCTAATTGGAGAAGCCAGGAAAATAGCAATAAAAACAATCAGAACTGCTCCCTTTGAACTTTAATCTTACCTGAATCTCCCTCTTGACATCTTCGACGTCGCTTGGATGCTTCATTTTCTTCTTGGAGGCCGACTTGCACGCGTAGGTGCGCCCCGTACGTATCTCCACTGCGATCCGAGTTGTGCCAAACTGCCCACGGCCTGCGGCATCCAATCACCCACCTTCTGAAACACTGAATGATAAGGAGGAGCGCTGGTGCTGACAGATGTTATTGATGCTAAGTACTAAGTATTCATATAATTGTACTGCAATGATACTGTGTCCTGGTACTACAGTCCCTTGTATAACCAGTCAGTGTGCTGAAATCCAGTTTCGCATTGAAAGGCGCAAGCTCTTTTGTGGTCAGCCCACACTGAGCGCAAAGTGATGCAACCAAGTACTAAAATGGATACTGACAGGACTAAGAGAGCACAACAATTCAACAACTTAAGAGAGCCAAACAATCAAGAGCGAAATGGTCTCAGCAAAAGTTCATGCAACATCAACACAATTTGCTGCCTGTGGCCTGCACAATGAGGATCCCTTTCCCCAATGCACACTGCCTTGTTGCCATCTGCCAATCACCAATCAAGAGCCAGCGCTTATGCAACATGACGCAATACATATATGATACAGTATGCAATACAGAGTGCATCTGAATGCAGGGCGCCAGGCACCACAGACAGCTGCTGGTCGCTGTTGACCACCTGTGTGTGCCTGTGCATCCAATGGCCACCATCGGTGCCCCACAACCCACCGTCTTCCAGAGTGTCGGCAGAATGCAGAATGGCATAGTCTAACAGGTCTTTAACTTCATCAACGTTTGTAAATGTTTGCACTGCTATCGTGTTCAGTTCTGCCAATGTCACTGCCATTGCCTCCAAAACCGCAGTTATGTGACACAATGCCATACAGTACGTGCTTGTACCACTCTTCCCAAAAGGGGTGTCGCCAAACCTGACAAACAGCACGTGCAGGAGGTAATTCTGCACATTGTAGAACCCCCTTTTCAGTCTCTTCACACTTGTGCTTAAAATTTGAAGCTCTGCATTCTCTCCATCGCTTAATGTCCTTCGCGTAATGTCATTTCCAGTGCTGTAAACTCTCAATTGGATGTAATGCCATCTCCCAGTTGTGCCATCTGGTCATTGAGTGCGATGTTACATTCCCAACTCTGTAATCCATCAGTGTTTGCAGGCTGCCGCCCACTGCCAATTCACTTCAGCGTTAAGCGTACTGCCAAGACAGTTGTGTTTCCCTCAAAATATTACAATATGTGCACAATACAATCCATCCAATCTCTTTTAAGAATGCGTCAATAATCTCAAAGTAGCAAACTGCTGATTCATCTATCAGCTATTCCAATAATACATTCTGAAAGAGAATCAATGTCCCTGTTGGTGCAGCATACCCAGTACATCGCCAAGCTCGAACTCGGAGTTGATGTTTGGTGTGGGTGTGTCCAAAAAACGAACGAATTTCTTCTCCCTTGACAGCCTCGTTTCCCTTGACCGCCTCCTGTGCATGGTGCCCCCTGGCCCTGTTGCCAGACCACAGTGTTAGTGAGAATCTATCACATTTTACTAATTTGTTCCGACAACAACCCATCTATTAAAAACATTTGGAAACTGCACATTGCTTCCCAAACCTTACTCGCTAGAGTGTCATGTAGACGCACGCCTTTATCAGTTGTACCAAATTGACGCCCAAGTCATGTTGTAAGCTCTGTGTCGACAGTCATAAGCTCTCAAACACCCCACCCATGTGAACCCTCGACCCAGAAACCCACTACCCGGGGGCCTACAAATTCAGCACAAGTCATTGCTGCATCACCTCACCACCATCAATGCATCTTTCCAGAAACTAAATGGTACTCTTGACTTTAGTGTGTGCCCCAAGCCTAGCAACAAACCAAGTTCTGCCAAGTACATTGTGCACTAGCACGTCAAAGTAAGCTTACAACATCATAGAGGTTGAAACTGTAAGACAAAGTCATTTTCTCTCCCTCGCAAGTCGTCCTCACTGTTCCACATTAATTCATCAAAAAGCATCCAAGGCTCCATCCTGGCTCATGTCCATGGGGCTTCGTCTTGTTGGGCAACCCCAACCCGCACCAAACTCACCCATCCCACACACTACAGTCCCAACACCAACAGCTTGATAAAAGGGCTCACATTGTCATATCGTGACAAGCACACAGACACTGGAATCGACCAGCCATGCATCAACCCAAGGCCCCTGCCAGCATCGAGTCTTACAGGATGCATCACCTGGGATCCCCCTGACTTGGAGAACCCTCTCCCCTTCAACAGCCCACGCTCCCATCTATGGCACTGAAAAGCGTAACAGGGGCCGCTGTATGCTCTATCAGGAGGGGTTGCTCCATTGTATGACCCGTGTTTTGGGCTTTCTAATATAAATCTTCTCACGCACTCCCATCCCACACCCTCTTCCCTTCAGGCAATTCTGCCCCACTCAGCCCTTCCCTGCCCAACATCGCACCCCGTACCCCTTTCCGCGTTGCCAATTGCGTCATGTTCCGTACCCCTCAAGTCCATTCTAGCACACTTGGAGGAGGCATTCGGCGCACCTCACCCTTGCCTCCACCTCGGCGCATGTCTTATTGCTTGCATTGTGTGGTCAACATTTTTCATCAGATCTCTACATCATCATCTTTTCACAGCATGGAAACGTGTCCTTCATGCTCTTGCTGGGGGGGTGGGGTGGGGGGGGTGGGGGTCTGTATGACCCGTTTCTTTTTCACATTGTTAAATAATCTTGGCACCGCCCAGCCACTTCTGTTTCTGCAATTTCACCCCACCCTCCCACTTCTTGCTTGCCACAACACCCCACCCCATTTTGTATCGCAAATTTGGACTTCCATGATGGCTTGCCATTTGTAGGGCATTCTCAGCCACCCAAAAGGCGCTCATTTCGGTCCAGCAGACTCGAAGGAGGCATTCAGCGCACACCTCCCACCCCACCCTCCCTTCGCTTGCTTGCCATCCTCTGTTTACACCGACCATCCTGTCCTGCAAGTTTGCGCCGCCTCGCGTTTTTCCTTTCCACCACACCTCAACACATTCGGCGCCCCTCCCTCTCCTTCTCTACACCGTGCCCAACATGCTGTGCGTCACAGCTGCCCTGACATCAATGCCTCCTTGATGGGCCATGTTCGGCCGCCAAACATTCAATCCAAGCCGGCCTGCCTGGAGGCATACCTTTGTCCCTTGCGCTGTGTGCTCATCAATTCGCATCGCGGGCTCTATGTCATCTTTTCACACCATGAAAAAGAGTCTCCCACACACTTGTTCAGGATGGGGGGGGCCATTTGCCTGACCTGTCTCTTTCACCCTTTGTAAAAAGTCTCGCCCTCGCGTGGAAAGCCGCCCTGCTAACGCTCCCCTGCGCGCCTCGCGCCACCGCTGGCTTACCGGGAATCGTCCACGACAGCACGCTCAGCTTGGCGCCCATTTTCGCACGCGAAAACTTCATTGCATTCGGGAACAAGACTCGGAGAGCCATTCAACTCCCCTTCCCCACCTCTCCGCTCTCCGCCTCGTCCCGGCCAACACGCCGGCTACACAGCCCGATCCGCGCCGCCATTGTCTCGGAGTTTCGTCCCAAAATTTCGCCCATCCCCTCGATGACTCCATTCCGTCAAACATAGAGGTGGCATTCACCCCCCTTTCTCCACGCACCCACACCTGGCCCCCACCCCCTGCTCCGCGCCGACGGTAAGGGCAGCTACACCCCGCCTCCGGTCCGTCGGGACGCGCCGTGCGCCGCTCTTCGCCATCCCGCCAAGCGCATCCAAGCCTAACGTTAGCCTTCACGTTTTCGATTCCGTCACGCCCGAAGGCGTTCGCCCCCCAGCGCCCCAACCCCCCACACCCACCCATTCTCAGAGGCTCTATGCGTTCTTTTCCCAGCAAGGAAAAAGAGCCTCGAACAAACGCTTGCTTGCCAGCGATGCCCTCTGTATGATCTGCTTCTTCCTCTCACCGTAATGTCGCTCTGCTTCTTGTTGGCATCGTTCCCCACCGCCCAGCGAGCGCTGAGCTACCGCTGGCGGCCATGAGTGCCTCGCGGAAGGGCCATTTTCGGCCGCGAAAGAAACAAAGAAACGTGCATATCGTCCCGGGCGACACGGAGGGGCCACCCAGCGCCGCTGGCCCGTCCCCCGCTGGGCAACTCGCCCCGGCAGACCGCTGCGCGCCGCCGCCGGCATGCCAAGAGGCGCCGCGTATCCCTCTTCGCCGCGGATGGGCCGATTTCGGCCATTTCTTGTCGGCCGTTTTCGAAGCATTTACTCTGCTCCCTGGGCTGACCCGGAGGAGGCATTCGGCCACCCTCCGCCCAACCCCCACTCTGCGCCGCGGGCCTGGCGAGCCCGCTCCAAACACTGAGGCTGCTCCGCGGGCCCGCCAGCAAGCGATTTCGCCCCGAGATCTCGTTCAGCCCCACGTTCACTCCATCCTGTCAAACTTGGAGGTGGCACGACACCGACCCACGGTTCCCAATCCCTGTGCCTGGTCCACCCCTCGCACCAAAAAAACAAGAAGGAGGGAGACCGTGTGCCCTCAGCCGCTTGCCGTCGGCCGGGAGGCGCCGCATGCTCCCCTTGGCTGCGGATCGGCATTTCTTGGCCTCCCCCCGCCCCCCGCGCCGCATCGATACACCCATGGCGCCAGAGATTGAAGACCTTTTTAAAACCAAGAATGCCGGCTGCATTCGCCCCGAGCCATTGCCGGCCGGAGTCCAGAGGGCCGCCGCCCAGGGACCCGCTCTTCCCGGCCGCGTCCACCGGCGGCATCGCCCAAACCTCGAAGGAGATTCTGGCAAAAATCCGCGCGAAAAATCTGGCTGCATCGCGACGGCACAATGCGTTGAATCGCTGGGACCTTCCCCGCTGACTATCTGCGGCGATTGGGCCCCGCGACCGGCGACCGAGGTGGGAGGGGACCCAATCATGCGCCCGAGGCGAATGGCCGCTTGCGCAAAACCTCGCGGGAGATTCTGGCAACGGTCGGGGCGAAAAAGTTCGCCGCATCGGGGCGGACACTTGGGTCCAA